CCTTACAACCATGATCTATTTGAAAGCCTAAGGCATGGGGTGCTTCTGCCCATAAGGTTGAGGACTGATCGTCTCTCAGATGTCTTCTCCTTAGACGCCAAGTAACGCAGTTGTGGAGTTTCTCTCGAATGCATTTTGTCGCGCTAAACCGGAGACAATGTACTGGAAACCCGGACTGAGACTATAGGGAGTCTGGGCGATGTCGGTGTTGTTTGCCTTACAGGGCTAGATTTATATGATCCTTCGTGCGCTGGAGGTGTTGCAGGATGAGAGTTTTAACCACCGTCACTTTGTACGAGTACCTAACGGACGTTTAGAGGTGTAGGTATCTCGTGTGTTTAAGAAGGGAATGCACTAAACCAATTTCCATCCCAGATTTTGTAGATCGCTTTGTTTAAAAAAAAACTGGACATGGTTGTGTGGCGGTTAAGTACCCGCGTTTTTCTTTTGGACCTACCTCATAAACCAACTAGGATGGTTCTGTTTCACCATATGTGATACTGCAACATGGTGTGTTCTATCATCATTTGTTGTAGTTTAGAGGAATTTGAAGGTAAAATTTCAAATCTTTTACAATTCCACTTTGTTACAGTTGCTAAGCGTGAGTCCGATAAACAACGCTTTGACACTGGTGTATGCCGGTCCGGGCACGGCTAGCTTCGTCAAATACATCAATCATTCTGCGCGCCCATCCCCTCTTTTCCCACAGTTATCAAACAATAAACAGTCGACTGATGATTCCCCACCTTCTTGTTATGACCTTTCCGTGATTTATTATGAGCCCGTCTCAACGAGTGAATCAAGCTCAGTTAGTGAGAGTTCATCTGAAGATGCGGAAGATGACGAAGGCGACGAGGAAGAAGAAGGCAGGGGGGAAGAACCTGATGAACGAACGCCACTTGAAAAACGTGCGGTTGAATCTGGATGCAGTCAACTACTTGAAGACCCTAACTAACCCCCCTTGTTGTTATGTCCCGCTTTTATAAATACCCTTATTGTTCCGCAGTTTCTATCCACTCTCCTTCCCCATATACCTAGATGGTGTTATCACGGCTGTCAGTTTCTGCAGGTTGATCTGACCGATTGACAGAAAGGTATATACGATTACTCTAGCCCTCTTATGGTGTCCCTCTGCACTTGATCCCAGCAACAGGTAATGGAACAATCAGCATTGCATGCGAGTGTAATTCATATCTAAAATCACTGAATTGCACATTCTAAAAGCAGTGGCACTGTCCAATCAAATGAATACTTTGCGGACAAAACAAAACCTATGAAAATGACAGTACCAATGGAGGTAGAAATAGTTCAATTTCGTTCTTTTCGGCGTAATTCACCGTGAACCTTTTTTGCAGCAACGGCGCTTTCCAGGTAACCAAGAGCCTGCAAGTTCGTACGCTTCACTCTCCTATCTCAGCTACCAGTCGTTTCTGTCACCCGCTCGTCGTAATAAGTCCGAAGTATGTTTCATCAGAATATGGGTTATTTCATGTGTGATTGACTCCGTCATGTCGAATTTCACGGGACGAATCGACTTGCGTGAGGTTGACACAGTTTAGTTTAGATAGGTTATGTATGATTTGAGCATTGCAACGGATGACAACCTGTTTGCAGGTTTGTACTGACTAGCGGTATCCCTCGTCGCGTTCCTAATGTTTGGGGTTGTCAAATGGAAGTCACCTCGGTTCCTGTGTAGAATCGCCTGTTAGCTAGCGAGTTCATTGGATGGATGGACATTACACTGGTCGATATATTCGTCTTATTCTTGTATCACGTCAATAGCAGCATGTAGCCAAAATTGGTTCAAAATGTCCAGCTAAAGAATGCCATGCATCACCTTGAGCAAACGGCGCAGTCTATCTCTAAATAACAACCAATGTGCGACCTCTGCAGTCCTGACCTGACTGTCAGATCTGGTAGATTTGAATGGCTGTACAACCAACGTGATACGCCTTCACAATCCGTTACTTCCGGCTTATTGGGAGACACGACTTCCGTTCGCAAAACTTTTTCACCACCCATCAGTATGTTATGCATGAAACCGTTGGTGATAGGGCTACATGGGGCTGAAGCCCACCCTCTCTTTTCTAACTACAT